CATTCACTGCTTGTCCACACTGTCCACATTTATTGATTGTCCACACTGTCCACACTCACTGCTTGTACACACTGCCCACATTCACTGCTTGTCCACGCTGTCCACATTCACTGCTTGTCCACACTGTCCGCATTCACTGCTTGTCCACACTGTCCGCATTCACTGCTTGTCCACACTGTCTGCATTCACTGCTTGTCCACACTATCCACATTCATTGCCTGTCCACACTGCCCACATTCACTGCTTGCCCATACTGTCCACATTCACTGCTTGTCCACACTGTCCGCATTCACTGCTTGTCCACACTGTCCACATTCATTGCCTGTCCACACTGCCCACATTCACTGCTTGCCCATACTGTCCACATTCACTGCTTGTCCACACTGTCCGCATTCACTGCTTGTCCACACTGTCCACATTCATTGCCTGTCCACACTGCCCGCATTCACTGCTTGCCCATACTGTCCACATTCACTGCTTGCCCACACTGTCCACATTCACTGCTTGCCCACACTGTGAGTAACTCTTCTTCTATAGTAACTCTTCTTCTTTTTATTGCAGGTAAATAATGGATTCCAAAGAGAAGCAATATGTCATCATTGAGTTCTTGATGCAGGAGGTGTCCAAGTTGTCCGACATCCACAGAAGGCTACAGAATGTTTACAGAGATGACACCATTGACAAAAGCAATGTCTTCTCATTGGTGACTGTTGTCAATGGTGTAAACATTCTGTAGACTTCTGTGGATGTCGGACAGCCTGCACCCCTCCTTCATCAAGAACTCAATGAAGACGTGTTCCTTCTGCTTGAAATCCATTATTTACCTGCATTGAAAAAGAAGAAGAGATACTATAGAGAAAGAGTTACTCTAAAAGCATGTGAAATTTGAACGACCTATGTATAATACAGAAATGCTATGCCCACTTTTGCATTACTTTTGATAAAAACTTCATCTGCAGAACCCTATACCCACAGTTTACCTAGAGGTAGACCCTGTAAAACATATTTTTTTATTTTTGGGAGCTGAAAACTCTTTGTCAGTAGCAGGATCTGGATCTGTGACCTCTGTGGTGTCTGGCTGTAACTCTTCTTACTGTGCCATGTGAGATGCTGGACAGCTCCCTATCTTCCTTGTCTCTTGTTTCTTGTGAACCTTGAACTCTTTGCTTGTGCCATGAATTTCATGATTTAAGCCATTTCTCTGCACTTCCTGTTTACCAGATTATTTTGCTCTCTCCAGCTGACATCTTGCTCCTTTCTGTACTTGCAGCTGTCCTCATCTCCACTACTTCTTGTTACCGACCTTGACTTGTTCCTTGACTATGCTTCTGTTCGATCCCAACCTGCAAGCATTCATTACCGACCTTTGGCTTTTTCATTGACTACGCTTCCCCTTGATCCCAACTTGCAACCAATCTTTGGGTTGTTTACTGACTTTTTAAGGGTCACCGAAATTGTCAATGGGCTCACTGGCACCGCTTTGGTAGGAGAACACAAAACAGGGTGTCAGGACCGGGATTTGAATCTTCGACCTGCTGCATCTGGCAGTAGCTTTTCCTAGGGCTAGGGAAAACCCTGAGATCTGGACACACCCTGCCTGATCTCTTGTGACTTTTCCAAATGGTCTTGGGAGTCTGTCTCTTAACTACTGGTCTCTGAGCCTGACCCCTGACCTTGACATCCTTCCAGGCATTGTGCAGAGTGGCTGCCCTTCTGCATAGTAACATAGTAGAGAATTGCTTGCTAGGGTAGGGTAAAACCACGTCATCCACCAAGGTGACATCTTGTATACTTTTCCAAATGGTCGGTGGGAGTCTCTCTAGTGCTTTAACTACTGGTCTCTGAGCCTGACCCCTGACCATGACATCGGTTTTCCAGGCATTGTGCAGAGTGGCTGCCCTTCATTGCGACCATCTTAGAGAATTGCTTGCTAGGGTAGGGTAAAACCACGTCATCCACCAAGGTGACCTGCTTGTATACTTTTCCAAGTGGTCAGTGGGAGTCTCTCTACTATGCTATAACTACTGTCTCTGAGCCTGACCCTTGACCATGACATTGTCTTCCAGGCATTGTGCAGAGTGGCTGCCCTTCTGCATAGTAACCATAGTAGAGAATTGCTTGCTAGGGTAGGGTAAAACCACGTCATCCACCAAGGTGACCTGCTTTGTATACTTTTCCAAATGGTCGGTGGGAGTCTCTCTAGTGCTTTAACTACTGGTCTCTGAGCCTGACCCCTGACCATGACATCGGTCTTCCAGGCGTTGTGCAGAGTGGCTGCCCTTCTGCATAGTAACCATAGTAGAGGATTGCTTGCTAGGGTAGGGTAAAACAACGTCATCCACCAAGGTGACCTGCTTGTATACTTTTCCAAGTGGTCAGTGGGAGTCTCTCTACTGCTATAACTACTGGTCTCTGAGCCTGACCCCTGACCATGACATTGGTCTTCCAGGCATTGTGCAGAGTGGCTGCCCTTCTGCATAGTAACCATAGTAGAGAATTGCTTGCTAGGGTAGGGTAAAACCACGTCATCCACCAAGGTGACCTGCTTGTATACTTTTCCAAATGGTCGGTGGGAGTCTCTCTAGTGCTTTAACTACTGGTCTCTGAGCCTGACCCCTGACCATGACATCGGTTTTCCAGGCATTGTGCAGAGTGGCTGCCCTTCTGCATAGTAACCATAGTAGAGAATTGCTTGCTAGGGTAGGGTAAAACCACGTCATCCACCAAGGTGACCTGCTTGTATACTTTTCCAAGTGGTCAGTGGGAGTCTCTCTACTGCTATAACTACTGGTCTCTGAGCCTGACCCCTGACCATGACATTGGTCTTCCAGGCATTGTGCAGAGTGGCTGCCCTTCTGCATAGTAACCATAGTAGAGAATTGCTTGCTAGGGTAGGGTAAAACCACGTCATCCACCAAGGTGACCTGCTTGTATACTTTTCCAAATGGTCGGTGGGAGTCTCTCTAGTGCTTTAACTACTGGTCTCTGAGCCTGACCCCTGACCATGACATCGGTCTTCCAGGCGTTGTGCAGAGTGGCTGCCCTTCTGCATAGTAACCATAGTAGAGGATTGCTTGCTAGGGTAGGGTAAAACAACGTCATCCACCAAGGTGACCTGCTTGTATACTTTTCCAAATGGTCGGTGGGAGTCTCTCTACTGCTATAACTACTGGTCTCTGAGCCTGATTCCTGACCATGACATCAGTCTTCCAGGCATTGTGCAGAGTGGCTGCCCTTCTGCATAGTAACCATAGTAGAGAATTGCTTGCTAGGGTAGGGTAAAACCACATCATCCACCAAGGTGACCTGCTTGTATACTTTTCCAAATGGTCGGTGGGAGTCTCTCTACTGCTATAACTACTGGTCTCTGAGCCTGACCACTGACCATGACATTGGTCTTCCAGGCATTGTGCAGAGTGGCTGTCCTTCTGCACAGTAACCATAGTAGAGGATTGCTTGCTAGGGTAGGGTAAAACCACGTCATCCACCAAGGTGACCTGCTTGTATACTTTTCCAAATGGTCAGTGGGAGTCTCTCTACTGCTATAACTACTGGTCTCTGAGCCTGACCCCTGACCATGACATCGGTCTTCCAGGCGTTGTGCAGAGTGGCTGCCCTTCTGCATAGTAACCATAGTAGAGGATTGCTTGCTAGGCATGGCTGCCATTTAGAGAATGACACTATTCATTCAAGTTTCTTAAAGGGTCAGCTTAGTCAATTATCGTGGCTATACCCTTGGTGACATGGTATTGTTTCTTCCCTGATTCATCACATACACTGTATCTCAAGTATAGCTGTAGCTGTTCCAATTCATTTATAAATCAGTGCATGATGATCCTATCTGTGTAATCTATCTTTCAGTATTAATAAAATCATTGCATGTCAGCAACTTTCGATATGTCCCAGCATCGTCCACGTGATTATAGCTATTATTTCTTGCATTTATTACTTTCTTTCACACTCATATTGGCCTCCCGTGCTCCCGCTGATCTTCCATTTAAACTCCCGTCTTCCCCTTCAGTAAGATGCACTGTAGTGTGACTCGCTATGCTGTTACCTTTCAGGGCCTCTGTAGATTAACACCCGCTTTTCTCGGTTTATGCACCCCCTTCAATAAAAGAATACATTTTCTCAGTGCTGCCGCTCCTGTAATTATGTATAAAACCAATCACTCATTATCTGCGAGATAGATGAGGCTAAATAAGCACAGCATTAATAATTTACAAGACTCTTCATTATGCCAGTGTACGGACTGCGAAGACCCAGCAAGAGCAATTCTTTCAGTCTGATGCCAACCCTTAAACAATGGCGCTCCATCAATGCGGCCCCATCCTGCTTCACGCTTGTTAAACAGAGACATGGATTATTCTATCAAATGCTCCTCTAGTTCCTACTCCCCCACCGCAAATCAACAGCTTCCGAAGTACGATTCTTATGGTTCTACCCCCCCCCCCCCCCCCCCTCTGCACGCTAATGACTCCAGCCATGGGTGATATTAATTCTGCAAATATTATAAACGTGATTAGCTTGCAATCAGAGATTTATTGCATCAGCGTCTTCTGGTGCCAAGATTCACGCTGTGACTGCTTATATGCCATCAGATTGAGGGTGCAGAATCATTTGTGGGGTAACATGCTTTACAAGCACTCACTACTCCCATCACCAAAAACCGAGAACGAGGTTTTTCAGCTTCCGGCTATCCGATGAACAGCACTTTGCCTGCTCTGTGTTATACTTCAATAGGATATGAACACTGTGGCCTCCATTTTACAAACCATTTGAAAAAAAAAAAAAAAAACAGGACATGGTGTGTAGCATGTGGTGCCTCCAAAAAGGTCTATTTGCATAAGAGCTCCAAGATTGGAGGCAAGCCAGTTGTTTGACTTTGACAGGTCATGTGACTAAGCTCTTTTATTTCTTTTTTATTTTCATGTCACCCATTGGTGCTCAAGTGAAGAATGCCCATTACATTGGTGGTTTGTGGAATAAATGCTACTTACATTGGTGATCAGTGGGAAGAATGCCCCTTACATTGGTGGTCAGTGAGAAGAATGCCCCTTACATTGGTGGTCGGTGGGAAGAATGGCCCTTACATTGGTGATCAGTGGGAAGAATGTCCCTTACATTGGTTATTAGTGGGAAGAAGGTTCCTTAGATTGGTGGTCAGTGGGAATAATGCTCCTTACATTGGTGATCAGTGGGAAGAATGTTCCTTAGATTGGTGGTCAGTGGGAATAATGCTCCCTACATTGGTGATCAGTGGGAAGAATGTCCCTTACATTGGTGGTCAGTGGGAAGAATGTCCCTTACATTGGTGATCAGTGGAAAGAATGTTCCTTAGATTGGTGGTCAGTGGGAATAATGCTCCTTACATTGATGATCAGTGGGAAGAATGCTCCTTATATTGGGTCTCAGTAGCAAGAATGCTCCTTAGAATGGTGGTCAATGGGAAAAATGGTCCTTAGATTGGTGGTCAGTGGGAAGAATGCTCCTTACATTGGTGGTCAGTAGGAAGAATGCCCATTACACTGGTGATCAGTAGGAGAAATGCCCCTTACGTTGGTGGGCAGTGGGAGAAGGAAGAGGACACACTGAAGGAGCTCCCCCTGAGAACCAGAGTTTTTCAAGCCTGGGCCTTGCCTGCTAGCTTGGCCCAGGAACCATGCCTGATCAAGGGGGAGGCCCTGGGAAGGATCTCCCTGATGACACCGGGCCTAGTGAGAAGGAGGAGAAAGTGGAGGACCTGACTGTGGTCCAGGCCCTGGTGAGGATGTGGATATGTACAGACAGATGATTATTGACTGATTCTTGGTGATTGGAAGAGCTGAGGAAAAACTTAATGTTTTGAAAGTTGAACACAAATCCTTCAAAGCCAAATACTGCCAGACCTGGAGTAAGAACAGATTGGCCATGCCATGAAGCCAAAGCTACAGCAGATGGAAGAAAAAGTAAAGAAACAATCTTTATTATTGGAAAAGCTGAAAGCAAGAAGTGAAGCCTTTGCAGAAAAGTTTGACAATGAGAGGAGATTTGCCAGCCGGACATCAGCGAGTTCTGTGGATCAGCAGCCTCAGGTAAAGGTTTGCCCGGCTCCATCTACCTCTACATCTCTCCGCCCATGTCAGGCTGCAGAGTTGTCAGCGGCAACTAGCCAGGGGGTTGAGAGTGAGCATGGAATCCTGAAGTTCATCCAGCAGATGGAGTCACCCCTGAGAGCAGACAAGTTTGCTTTTTCTGATGACTCTTCAAAAGTCCCTGAGGATGGACAGAGGAGGTATAGACCAGCAAAGCCAGTATTGGTGGAGAAGTCCCAATACACAAAGATGGATGCTTCCAGAATGTCTGCCCTACCCCCTGTGGTGGTTGGTGTCCCAGCTGAGGAGCAAAAAGAGAGAAGGATCCCTGCAAGGAGCTGTCTGTTGGTCTTTCTGCTATAGAGAAACCCTCTGCAGACAAAGAAAACCCCTGACAGGGGTGTTTTCAAACCATCATAGGAATATGGATGGATCTGCACCAAACACCTCGGACACGTATTTTGCTGCTCCTGCCTGTGCTGAGACCAGTAGTGCCTCTGGGAATGCTGCAAGCAAGATGGCCCCTGGCTGTAAGGAGTCTGCTGCACTTGAACTCCCATGTGTTTTAGAGCTGATTGATGCTGGTGGGGGAGGGGAGCAGCACAGTGCACCATGTGGAGAGCAAACAGCAAACATGGATGTCTGTGATATTTTACCTGTTGCTGTGTCTGAACAGCCCGTACGTTCCTGGGCTGAAGGCTCTGATCTGGAGGAGGAGATGACAGCTGGAGATGAAGTTTCTATCACTGCAGCAGTGAGTGCGGACATTGCTGTGAAATCTATGAATGTGTCTGCAAGTAATATGACTGTTGAGACTGTTAAAGCAATGGATGTGTTGATGGTGGGTAGTGGTGAAGGGGCTAATGTTGCTAACAAGAGTAAAAATGACATTTCTGCCCCTGCTCAGCAATCTCATATCACTGTACAATCAGTATCTGCTAGAGTTGCACCAGCGCTCCAGGCACACAAATGTTTCTGCTGCTGGGAGGAATGTGAGGAGCTATGCCTCTGTTTTGGGGAGTCGCACCAAGGAGGGTGGAGGGAATGTTGGAAATCCTAATGGTCACAATTTCGGAAGGTTTGGTGGTGGGATGGCTGGTGGGTTCAGGAGGCGGAATGTTGTGCAGTTGAAGTGGGGGGGGGAGGGAACCCCACCAGTAAGGGGGAGGATGGCTGAGTTGATTCTGGAGATGGGGTTTAAAGCCTGTGATGTTTTGCCTTGATCTGCCCAGTTGGCAGTTATAAATATGATTTATCGTTTGTAAAACCTGAAAGTCTGGATCTTTTTTGGGAGAGATATAGGAAGTGCAGGAGCCTTCAGCAGTGGAGAGGTTTGGTGGCAAAGGTGGTTTCAAGGCAGCCTTTAATAAAATCGGTGACAATCCTGCTCCATAACGAATCCATACCAGAGGCTGATTTGCTAGTGTGGCTACGCCGATATGGCGAGGTCATCGCCCCACTGCGGAAGGTCCTGGATGAGCATGGGATTTGGACGGGCCTGGATGGTGTCGCTGCAATTGAGGGTGCTGGGCAATGTGATTCAGCACCTGCCCTGCTCAGCTTTTCTGGGGAGGGATAGGCTAACCTTTTTCTATCAGGGTCAGCCTAAGGTTTGTAATAAATGTGGAGAGAAAGGCCACTTCCGTCTGTTGTGTCGGATTCTGTTTCCCCTGGTAATGTCACCCCTGAGTCTGTCCCTTCTGTTCCTAATCCTACTGTACGTAGATCCTCCAGACTAGCGGAAGCTGCTTGGAGGGTGGGTTTTGCAGATCTTTCCTCTCTGCCTACTCCACCTCCAGTAACTGTCCCACGACAGCACAAACGTGGTCAGGAGAGTGTGGGGGTGCTGGAGGGGGGTGGAGCCGATGGGGCTCAGGGAGGGGTGTCCATGTTCCATGTCTCACCTCCTGCTGAAGGGGATTAAGATGATGAGGGGTGGGAGAGGTCAAGAGGAAGAAAAAGAAGAGGCGGATGAGAAGAGCTGTCCTCTCTTCTTCAGAATCAGACCCAGGAGGGGTCCCTCTTGGCAACACCTATTCAGTTTTTTCAGGTGATGAGATGGAGTCTGATTTATCCATTTCTTTATCATCTATGGATGAGGGGGAGTCAAAAAGCTTGAAGAGAACTGTTTTGGGTGATGAGAGTGTGGTAGAGGTTAAGAAACGACTACCCCAATCATCCTGATGGCAGTGCCCCTTACATTAGTGGTCAGTAGAAGGAATGCTCCTTGCATTGGTAATCTGGCTGTTTATTCTCTCAGCTGGGAGAAAAAACAAAACAGCAGTCCGGTCTGTGAGTAAAAGCAGCCAACAATGCACACATTACAGTTGTTAGGCACACAGTTAACCCCTTGATTCCCCTTTCTTAGTCAGTGTCATTAGCACAGTGTACATTATTATCACGGATCACTGTATTAGTGTCGCTAGCGACTTCAGTGTCAGTTAGTTAGTGTCCCTCCCAGCTAGTGTCTGTTAGTGCCAGATTTCCTACCACACTATCACAGTCCCACTAAAAGTCCTCATGCACACGGGACGTTTTTACAGCGACTGTTTTTGGCTTTTGACGTTTTTTTCTACAGCCAGTAAACCCCCCCAGCATATTATCCTATGTGTCCATACACACATAGACTGTAATCAACGTTTCTTGGCAGGGGCGTTTGGCTGGGGAAAAAAAAACCCCAGGACTAGTGGGCTTCTAGAGGAGTTTGTTATCTGTAAAAATGCTCTAACACTGAAAAATGTGGTAAATCGCGGCAAGCCGGTGTTTGTAGACTTTTTTTAGTTAAAAAACTTGTCAAAATAACACTAAACTCTAATGCAAAAAATGCTGAAAAACTGTTTTTTAACTTGACTTTACACAGCTAACGTTACCAGTGTTATTAAAACGCCCCCCCCCCCAGTGTGGGTGGAGCCTAAGTCTCTGTAAGTAGACTGTAAGTATAGCGTCATAACTGCATAAATTCCAGTATATATACACCATAATTTTTAGGCTCTGTACATAACTTAAACATATAGCAGAATACATTTTATCCCAAATTTATGAAGAAATTTGATGCTTTGATTTTTTTTCTATTGGATGTTTTATAACAGATAGTAGAAAATATTGGGTTTTTTAAAAAAAATGTTTGGCCTTTTTTCATTTATATATAAAAAAAACAAAAAACAAAACAGTGGTGATCAAATACCTCCAAAGGAAAACTCTATTTGTGTGAAAAAAAAAATTTTCATTAGTGTACAGTGTTGCATGATCGGGGTTGCGGCTATGGGAACATATTACATGTTCCACCTGTTTTTACATGTTTGAATATTACATGTTCCACCCCTTTTTACATGTTTACATATTACATGTTCCACCCGTTTTTACATGTTTGAATATTACATGTTCCACCCCTTTTTACATGTTTACATATTACATGTTCCACCCGTTTTTACATGTTTGAATATTACATGTTCCACCCCTTTTTACATGTTTACATATTACATGTTCCACCTGTTTTTACATGTTTGAATATTACATGTTCCACCCCTTTTTACATGTTTACATATTACATGTTCCACCCGTTTTTACATGTTTACATATTGCATGTTCCACCATGTTCCCAAAGGTGAACTTGTCCTTTAAATGCGGAGTTAGGCTCTTGGGTTATCCACTAAAAGGAATCCCTCATTAGTCCACTAGAGGGAGTAGAACACGAATGTTGCGTCATCTGTCCTTTAGTGCTTATATGTTAAATCATTTGGTCAATTGACGCCAGGATCGAACGCCGACCTGCTCTGCAAAAAAAAATATCGTAGGATCTGTTTTGGCCGAATTTTCCTTTTAATGTCCTTGATCTATAACATAGCTGAGCGGGCCACTCCAGATGAAGTTGATTTTTTTTCTGTTTAATAAATTAGTCACTTGTAGTGTATGGGGAACGATGCAGCGAGTCAGAAATATCCACTTTTTACGTGGCAGGGAAGCAAAACTGTTTTTTTTTCCATTAATTGTCAGGCAAGGGGGAGGACGTGTAAACATTGGGAGCCCAATAGAGCAGGTCAGCTGTAAAACCAAGCCATCGATACGCTGCTCTTTGGTTCCTCACAAAGGTTTTGGATTACAGCCTATAAAAGGTATTGATCAGAGAAAGCCATAAAGAGCGGTGTGCACATTGTGTTCCTGGGGGAGGCTGGATGAGAACACGCTGCACCATTTTTATGTAGCAAATCATTCAATGTCCTTTGTGATACACGGACAGGGACCACTTATGTACCCGCGCCTGTGTTCAGTAAACACCAGTGGTATGTCTCCTATATGATCGCTGAGGCCATAACTGGGTCTCTGCTGTGCGTTTACACCGGAATAAACAACACTTTCTCCAGAGTGGTGAGAAAATGAGCAGTGAGTATTGTTAGGAAATACCCGAATATGAGATATTAGGGACCATCATCCCTCCAACAAAGAATTCGTAATCTGCATTATGTATAAAGTATTGAAACCAAATACAAAAATGTGATATATCGCAGCTTACCAAATCTTAGATGTGGTTGCATTAGTTTTCTTTTTTTTTTAGGATTATTTCCTTTTTGTTTCACCTGGTGATCCTGCCAGTGATACACGTTCGGGCTTAGAGTGTCTCCATTCTGGTTGGGGGAGCAACAGAGACACCCGTAGACAGCAGGGAGTGTACAGAACACCCTTGGACAGCAGGGGAGTGTACAGAGACACCCTTGGACAGCAGGGAGTGTACAGAACACCCTTGGACAGCAGGGAGTGTACAGAGACACCCTTGGACAGCAGGGAGTGTACAGAACACCCTTGGACAGCAGGGGAGTGTACAGAGACACCCTTGGACAGCAGGGAGTGTACAGAACACCCTTGGACAGCAGGGAGTGTACAGAGACACCCTTGGACACAGCAGGGGAGTGTACAGAGACACCCTTGGACAGCGGGGGAGTGTACAGGGACACCCTTGACAGCGGGGGAGTGTACAGGGACACCCTTGGACAGCAGGGGAGTGTACAGAGACACCCTTGAACAGCGGGGGAGTGTACAGGGACACCCTTGGACAGCAGGGGAGTGTAGAGAGACACCCTTGAACAGCGGGGGAGTGTACAGGGACACCCTTGGACAGCAGGGGAGTGTAGAGAGACAACCTTGGACAGCAGCGGAGTGTAGAGAGACACCCTTGGAGAGCAGGGGAGTGTACAGAGACACCCTTGGACAGCAGGGGAATGTACAGAGGTACCCTTGGACAGGGGGGAGTGTACAGGGACACCCTTGGACAGCGGGGGAGTGTACAGAGACACCTTTGGACAGCAGGGGAGTGTACAGAGATACCCTTGGACAGCAGGGAGTGTACAGAGACAACCTTGGACAGCAGGGGAGTGTACAGAGACAACCTTGGACAGCAGGGGAGTGTACAGAGACAACCTTGGACAGCAGGGGAGTGTACAGAGACAACCTTGGACAGCAGGGCAGTGTACAGAGACACCCTTGGACAGCAGGGGAGTGTACAGAGACACCCTTGGACAGCAGGGGAGTGTACAGAGACACCCTTGGACAGCAGGGAGTGTACAGAGACACCCTTGGACAGCAGGGGAGTGGACAGCTTGGACAGGGGAGTGTACAGAGACACCCTTGGATAGCAGGGTAGTGTACAGAGACACCTTTGGACAGCAGGGGAGTGTACAGGGACACCCTTGGACAGCAGGGGAGTGTACAGGGACATCCTTGGACAGCAGGGGAGTGTACAGAGGTACCCTTGGACAGCGGGGAGAGTGTACAGGGACACCCTTGGACAGCAGGGGAGTGTACAGGGACACCCGGGGAGTGTTAGATGACTAGCAGATTTAGATGGACTTGACAAATGGAAGCCAAATTCCAGCTAACACTTTTTAAGCATTTACAGTAAGGGCTTGTGCACAATAAAAATGCCAGGACCTGCTATGAGGAAAAAAACAGTGTTAATAATGTGCGTTTTGCCGTGTATTTATCACGTGTTTATGTGTATTTTGCAACATTTTTTAGCGTAAGCATTTGCAAGCATTTTTTAATTTATTTACCCAAACATTCCCCTCAGCTCAGAAATAGAGATACAGTACATATATATATAAAGAAAAAGAAAAGCCAAAATAATTTAAATTAGTAATAAGATTTAAAAAAAAGTATACAAGTTTAAAAAATAAAATACATAATAATATTTTAATTATAAAAATTTCTCTCTCTTTCTCTTTATACATACTCACTGGCCACTTTATTAGGTCCCCCTTGCTAGTGCTAAGATATCAACAAGGCATTTTCCTCCACACAACTGCCGCTCACTGGATATTTTCTCTTTTTCGGACCATTCTCTGTAAACCCTAGAGATGGTTGTGTGTGAAAATCCCAGTAGATCAGCAGTTTCTGAAATGCTCAGGCCAGCCGTCTGGCACCAACAACCATGTCATGTTCAAAGTCACTTAAATCCCCTTTCTTCCTCCCATAACTAGACAACCTCGCTGCAGCCATCTTTCGGCTATAGTGCGATAGGGAAGAAGTTAAGCAATCTGAGTCTAAATCGTTTTCTCCCTATGCTGGAATCACCATTGAGATATTTGTATATCGCTTTCATATCTCCTCTTAGGCGTCTCTTCTCCACGGAGAATACGTTTAATGCTTTTAGTTATTCCACGTGAAGTCCTCCAGTCCCCTTGTTAGCTGTTTTTTTTCTCTTCTCTGGTCTCTCTCCAGTTCCAGCACTTCCTTCCTGAGGACTGGTGACCAGAACTGGTCGGCATACTCCAGATGAGGCCGAACCAGAGTTCCTTTGTATTCTCTTTGGATCTGAAATTGCTACTTAGTTCTTCATGTTTTTTTTTTTTTTTCAATTAAAAACTCTTCTGCATAATGCATTAATGTCACCTTAAATGTCCTTTCCCTGATGTTTTTGTTTTCAGACGCCCCTGCTTTGCAGCAGAGTCGCTGTCCTCAGCACACGCCTGGTTCACACAAACCTCTCGCTTGTGTATTACAATGTGTTCTTTCAGATGTGCAAAGCCCATGGCATTGGATATGATGTCAAGGTAAGGCTGTGAAACTTCAATAGTTATAGGTGTGCTCACAATGTCTCTAAAAACATATTACATATTCCCGAGCCCATGAGGTGTTTGGATGAATTGATTTGATTAAAAAAACAAATAATACAGAGTGCAGAGTGCAGAGTTACAGAGTCAGGAGTGCGCTGTGTACAGAGTGCAGAGTTCAGGAGTGGGCTGTGTACAGAGTGCAGAGCTGTGTACAGAGTGCAGAGTTCAGGAGTGCGCTGTGTACAGAGTGCAGAGTTCAGGAGTGGGCTGTGTACAGAGTGCAGAGTTCAGGAGTGGGCTGTGTACAGAGTGCAGAGTTCAGGAGTGGGCTGTGTACAGAGTGCAGAGTTCAGGAGTGGGCTGTGTACAGAGTGCAGAGTTCAGGAGTGGTGCGCTGTGTACAGAGTGCAGAGTTCAGGAGTGGCTTCAGAGTGCAGAGTTCAGGAGTGGGCTGTGTACAGAGTGCAGAGTTCAGGAGTGGGCTGTGTACAGAGAGTGGGCTGTGTACAGAGTGCAGAGTTCAGGAGTGGGCTGTGTACAGAGTGCAGAGTTCAGGAGTGGGCTGTGTACAGAGTGCAGAGTTCAGGAGTGGGCTGTGTACAGAGTGCAGAGTTCAGGAGTGGGCTGTGTACAGAGTGCAGAGTTCAGGAGTGGGCTGTGTACAGAGTGCAGAGTGTTCAGGAGTGGGCTGTGTACAGAGTGCAGAGTTCAGGAGTGGGCTGTGTACAGAGTGCAGAGTTCAGGAGTGGGCTGTGTACAGAGTGCAGAGTTCAGGAGTGGGCTGTGTACAGAGTGCAGAGTTCAGGAGTGGGCTGTGTACAGAGTGCAGAGTTCAGGAGTGGGCTGTGTACAGTGTACAGAGTGCAGAGTTCAGGAGTGGGCTGTGTACAGAGTGCAGAGTTCAGGAGTGGGCTGCTGTGTACAGAGTGCAGAGTTCAGGAGTGGGCTGTGTACAGAGTGCAGAGTTCAGGAGTGGGCTGTGTACAGAGTGCAGAGTTCAGGAGTGGGCTGTGTACAGAGTGCAGAGTTCAGGAGTGGGCTGTGTACAGAGTGCAGAGTTCAGGAGTGGCTGTGTACAGAGTGCAGAGTTCAGGAGTGCGCTGTGTACAGAGTGCAGAGCAGAGTTCAGGAGTGCGCTGTGTACAGAGTGCAGAGTTCAGAGTGCGCTGTGCAGAGTGCAGAGTTCAGGAGTGCCTTCTTCCACAGCTCAGGAGTGGGCTTACCTCTGCATCCCCCATCAACATCTCCCTTTACCCCGCATCCCCCATCAACAGCTCTTTCAGCTCCCCGGTCAGAGGACCTCTGCATGCAACCTCCCTCCTCCACTGCCCCATCTTCTACCCGCCCCCTTAAAAGCTCCACCTCTTCCACGTGTCTTACTTTTGTTGCCGTATTAAGCTGAAGCACCCAGATGGCTCTAGTACCTCCCTCCACACTGTAGGTGGCTCCGCCTCTCTCACTTGCAGGAAGATCATCCAGTGGGGGTGTCAGCATCCACACTGCACCCCAGGCACCTGCACCTCCCTTATCCCTGTCCTGCACTCAGTGGGATCTGCTCAGGAGATCAGATCTCTGGGAGCCACTGGAAGACTAGCTGTCACTTGTAAACACAGAAACCAGACTTCAGAAACCGGACTTCTGTGTTTACAAGTGATAGTGGTGAGCAGAGAGCAGAAGGCCTGAGCCAGAGGTGGTGGAACTTAGTCCCACCAAGTTCCAGATGAAGGCCACATACAGGCCATATACACATATATATAAGGAAAGTGGTAAACTTTGTGATATGCTGGATATACATTTATTCCAAAGGCAAGTGCAGGAACAAAGTTTCAGGCATCCTCACCCTTTCTCAAGTTTGCTTTAAACTTGAAGTGATTGTAAAGTTACATTTTTTTTCTTTTTAAATGATCAAACATGTCATACTTACCTGCTCTGTGTAATGGTTTTGCACAGAGCAGCCCCCATCCTCCCTCCTCTTCTCGGGTCCCCTGCTGATGCGCCTGGTTCCACCTCTTGTCCGTGTGCCGCCATAGGAAGCCACTTTCTATGGTGGCACATGTGTAGGCTCCATCCCGTCCTTTGACTCTAAAAGTGTGGCCAAGCCCCGCCCCTGCTCCCTTCTCAGGTAAGTATTAAGGGGGGGAGGGGCTGACAATAGAAGGTTTGTTACCTTAATGCAGAGAGTGGATTAAGGTCAAATAGAAAAAACCTGCAACCTTTACAACCACTTTGACACCCCCCCCCCCCCCCAAAACTGGTGCCACCTGTTAAACTCTGCAGGTTGACCTAAAATTGCTGCAGCAAATCAGTGGTACATGTACTGACGGTGGAACATGTACAGCCCTGTCCGGATAGAATTTTGGTGGTGGGGGCAGGGCTGCTGCTAGAAACCATGGGGCCCCATACATCCAAGGCCCCCTCCTAAAACGTTTACTATGTCTCAGTTATGAATGAACACAGTAAGTGATCATTACCGATCACTCATTGTGTCCATTCGGGAAAGGACATATTTACCAGACCCTTCCCCCGCTCTCTATCCTGAAGGATCTTATTGTGTGCTTGCAGCTTCTGGTGGAAAGGAGAGGAGGGAAGCACCATCGGAGGGGCACACAGGGGGGCCTGGGCAGCAAGGGGAAAATGGTGCACATGGAGGGTGATGGGTGTGGCGGGGGGAATTACTGGAACCGATCCCCTGTATGGCTCTCTCTGCAGCAGCTGAAAGCCAGCAGGAGGGAGAGGAGAAGCAACCAGCTGTCAGCTGACGCAGAGAGACCCATACAGGGGATTGGTTCCAGTAATTGCCCCCCCCCCCCCACTGTGCCAATCTCCCTCCCTGCCCACATCTGATTCATCCAGTACGTACATTGTCTCCTAGTCGGTGTATTGAGCCCAATTTTTGCACACACTGAATGTTGGGTAAGGGTGGCCGATGGGCGAATAGAACAGGCAGGAAATCAACGCTTCACCTTTGACATCGTCCCTTATGGAAAATGGCAGAATGTTGTGTTAGGAAGTTAATAAATATTGACTGATTCATTCACTTAGATTGCATCCCATTTCTCTGTGCTTTGTCAGGAGAAGCAAGGTACGGTGTTCGTGCTGCTGGAAAACCTGAAAAGGCATCGAATAGGAATGCTGTGAGTATACCGGCACTGTCTGTGGACCACTCCTGTACCATCACCTTATTGGTCAGTGGAGGGCCCGGCCTATCCATCCCATCCATCCATCCATTTATTTATCCTTTCATCCATCCATTCCATCCATTCCATATTATCCCTCCCACCCTCCCTCCATCCACCCCCCCCCCCCCTCCACCCCCCCCCCATCCATCCATCCCCCCCCCCCCATCCCATCCACCCCTCCCATCCCACCCATCCCATTCCTTCCCTCCCATCCATTCTTCCCCATACATCCATTGATCCCACCCCATCCATTCCATCTTATCCATCCCATCCATCCCTCCCTCTCTCCCCTCTCATCCATCCATCCTTCCTTCCATCCCATGCATCCCTCCCTCTAATGCCATCCCATCCATCCTTTCCCATCCATCCATTAATCCCATCCATTCCATCTTATCTATCCCACCCATCCCTCCCTCCCCCTCCTCCCCCCCCCCCAATCCCATTCCATCCATCTATCCCTCCCATCCATCCCTCCGATTCCTCCTTCCCATCCCATCCATCCATTAATCCCATCTTATCCATCCCTCCCTTCCATCCCATCCATCCATCCATCCATTCAGGCTCCATGCACACGGGACGTTTTGATAACGTTGGTAACATTAGCTGTGTAAAGTCACATTAAAAACGTTTTTCAGCTTTTTTTTAGCGTTTTTGCATTAGTGTTTAGCGGCGTTTTTCCGCATTTGCGTTTTTAGCTTTTTTATTATAGAGAAAAAAAATTGGGAGGGGGGTCAAAAAAGTCCAAAAACGGCGGTTTGCGGCATTTTACCGTGTTTTTTCAGTATTAGAGCGTTTTTACAGCTAACAAACTCCTCTAGAAACCCGCTAGTCCTCAGTCTTTTTCCAGCCAAAAAATGTCCCAGCCAAAAAACGTTGATTCCAGTCTATGTGTGTATGGACACATAGAATAACATGCTGGGGGGAGGGTTACTGGCTGTAGAAAAAAACATTAAAAAACTAAAAACAGGCGCTGTAAAAACATCCCGTGTGCATGAGGACTCATTGTCCGGACCATACTAGGGTTGAGTTAACAAAGGCAAATAGACTGTTCAGTTTGCAAGGGAAGTTTCAATAATGTGGTGAAAATTCCCTTCAAAGTCTACACAATCAGGTGCAAGGAAGTAGGAAAAAAAAAACGTATTTTTGTTTGCAGATGATTGGATGATGGAAGTCAGCAGAGCTTCACCTCATTCAGTAAGCTAAAGGCAAATTCCCTTGCAAGGAGAGCAGCCTATTTGCCTTCGGTAAATCAGCCCCATTGCGTCTGTCGGCAAAGAGCTACTAAGTAATAAAGAGATAATATGCGAGCGCTATCCGGGGATCTATAAAGGAAAGCAGCTAGAACACCAGAAAAGGTAACCAAGAAAGAACCTTCCAGTAAAATACATATATATATATAAATAAGGTGCAGCGCTAAAATAACATAAATATCATATTATAAAATCAAGTGCAAATATCAGATCACACTGAGGTGAGATTCAGTGAAATGAAAAGTCCCAAAATAAAGGCCCAACGTGGGGATCCGATACATCCTAATGGGTGCGTGGGTTAAAATTCCAGTGTACCACACGGTGAATCTGGGGAAAAAAAATGCGCACTCACCAGAAGTGCGTCAAAAATACGCATGTAAGATTTATCCTGTAGTATCAGGTAGCGGTCATCGATTGCCAAGATAAGGACAGGGTCATACACCTTCCAATCGCAACTCGGGGTAGGTACTCCAAAATTCTTAAACATGTCTCAAGCGTGTCACCATCTGGGGTCCCCTTTTTGAACTGGTTCTGCAAGTGGGGACTTCTACAACTAGTTCACAATAATCCAGAGATTTCCTTGATCCCCAACTGTCCTTTAATCCAAGATCCCAGAAATGCAGCGGCAGCTCTTCAGGGTGATCCCGGTCTCGGGTGTCATCCAGCACAGGCGCCTGGCTCGTTGTCTCCTGATCTGGGCTGGTGTCACACTCTGGGGGGGGGGGGGGGTCTTCAAAGACCTCCAGATGATCTTGGGCTGGCACTGCCTAGGGGTCACAGTCCATGCCGGATGGCGCAGTAGAAAGCAAAGAGCTACTGCTCGGTGAATCCAATATTCAGAAGGCAGTACTCTACATAAAATTGTACGCTTTGTTCTGGCGCTCTGACGCTGCAGTGAGTACTTGGAGGTCCCATTGCATCCATTTTGGATTGATTGTGAAAGGATGAGACAGGCTACACCGTCCCTGTAAATATTCTATGTGTATACTATTAATATTCTACACATGATAATGGACCTGGAGGAGAGCTGGTTATGGTGGGGCTTGTGCCACAGTCTTCAATTATTAAAATTGCGGAGCTTCCATTGGAAAGATTTATGTTTTCTCCCTTTTTCAGCTTTATTAACGTTGGCAGATGCCCGACCTCACACATGGTCCCCCACTATCTATGTATATGTATGCTACACATGGAGTTGTGACATTTAAAGTGGAACTAAACCTTCCTTTCCTTTACAGCCAAGGAAGCCGCCATCTTGGCCTCTGTTTGATCTGCAGGTGCCAGGGTGCAGCGCATGTGATCAGCTATGATACCATGCATTTGGTGTCTGGTTGAGAGCTAACATAGGCACACTAGTAACAGTGGCAGTTGTCATTCCTGGTTACGCGCTGAGTATTTCCGTTAGACTACCGCTTCCCCGTCCGAACACCGACCACAGACACCACCGCTGACCATACAAGACTAGACAACACCAGTCTTGAAGTAAAGCAGGAAATAGACTACTTTATGTTAACACAGATACAAGATATATACATTCAAGGGAACAACCCCCCCTCCCTGAATAATGGCACAGGGCAGGGCAATCTACATTTAGTAACAAGAGACACACCAACACACAGTCAAATCA